AAACAGGGACAAACTTAGGGACTCTTAATACATGGCATACATACACTATTAAACATTGCAAAAGAAATACACAAACAGTAGAAGACAAAATAGATGACTTGGACATCCTAAAAATTAAACACTTATGTGCATCAAACGATGTCACTAAAAGAGTAAAAAGGGAGCCGACACTGGGAAAATATTTTTGCAGTGACATATCAGACAAGGAACTAATATCTAAAATTTATAGAAAATTACAACACAAGAAAAAGAGAGTCCAATTAAAAACTGGGCACAGAAAATGAACAGACATTTCATTCACCAAGGAAGACACCAACAAACATAAAGAAATTGTTCACAATCATTAGTCATTGTTGTTGTTATTGCTAAGTGCTGTTGAGTTGGTTCTGACTCATAGTGACCCTGTATGGGTTTCCAAGGAGCGGCTGGTGAGCTTGTACCACTGACTTTATGGGTCAAACCAACCTTGCAGTACAGTGTATTAACCTACAATGACACTAGGGCGCAAATCAAAACAGCAATGAAATATCATCTCACAGCAGCATAAATAACAATGTTTAATATATATATATATTGGCAAGGGTGTGAAGAGACAGGGACCCTCCTACATTGCTGGTGGGACTGTAAAATGATTCAACCACTCTGGAAAGCAATGGGGCGCTCCCTCAGAAAGTTGGAAACAGAAATGCCTTATGACCCAGTAATTCCTCTACTTGGTATGTATCCACAAGAAATACAAGCCAGGATAAGAGTAGAGGTATGCACATCAATATTTATTGCAGCACTATTCACAACAGCAAAAAGATGGAGATAGTCTAAGTGCCCATCAATAGAAGAATGGATATAACAAACTTTGGTACATACACACAATGGAATACTATGTAACCTTGAAAAATAATGATGAATCTAAACACCTCATCACATGGATGAACCTGGAGGAAACTATGCTGACTGAAATTAGTCAATCACAAAAGGACAAATATTGTATGAGCCCATTATTGTAAAAGCTTAAAAAAAAAAAGTATGAGGGAAAGACAAAAGAAAATAGTTTCTCCAAAGAAATTGCTTTTGGAATTACCTTGTATCCTTTAACACTACTAACTTTTTAGTGTTTGTTGTATATTGTACTTCATTGTTTTTTATTATAAATGCAATTAATGTAGTCACTGGCTAGAAAGTAGACACATATTAGCTTGGGTGACAGGAAGGGCAATATACAAGAAGAGGAAAGTTGGCAGAAGTATGAAGACAGTAGAAAACACAGGGAGGTATGCATGGGTTAAAGGGAATAGAGGGAATAGTATTATATACACAACCTTGGAACGAGTGTTCGGTGGGTAGATACATGGATAGATACCCAAACTGAATAGGTATGGGAGAAAGAGTGGAAATACACCCACAAATATATAAGCTTGAAAGAGGATATTTGTACAGGGTCGCTATGGGTCAGAACTGACTGGACAGCACTTCACAACAACAACAAATTTATCTTTGCTGTATACACACCTATGAATGTGATGGAGCATACAGAGGGCAAAGTGATGAAAGCTTTGCAGATATCATCAAACATGTTTCGGCAATGAGTAGTCTGGTCTGGAAGCTCAGGACCAAAGTCTCAGGGAACACCATGGTCAACTGACATAACATAGTCTACAAAGATAATGTTCTACATCCTACTTAGATGAATAGTGTCTGAGATACTAAAAGCTCATGAATTGCCATCTAAGGCATAACTATTGATCTCTCCATGTGTGGAAGAAAGAACAGTGATGAGAAATTGAAAAGGCTTTGAATCAATTCATGCAATGGACTAATGGAACATGTGAACGTAAGTCTCCAGACTCTGAGCACAGAACTAGATGGTGCCCGGCAACTACTACCAACTGCTCTGAAAGAGATCACATTAGAAGGTTCCAGATAGAATGGCAGAAAATGTGGAACAAAACTCAGAATTATATTTAAAATTATATTTAAAAGAAAAGAAGATTGGGAAATTTAACAAGTCATTAAGGGCCATAGTCTCTGGTTCTTCCAGTCTCTTTCTGACCAGTAAGCCAGGATTTCTTAATAATTTGAGGGTTTTTGCACATTTTCTCCCACTCTATCTAGCACCTTCTAATACAGCCCCTTTCAGAAATGTTGGAAGTAGTATCTAGGCATCATCTAGTTTCAGGGTTGTATAGACTGATGTCCACATGGTCCATTATTCCATTGGACTAGATGAATTGTTTCCAAGCATCTTCAATTTTCAACATTTTTTCTTTAGCACAGGATAGACCAATAGTTGCACCTTAGATGACCAGTTATGAGCTTTTAAAATCCCAGTTGCTATTCACTAAATAGGATGAAGAACACTGTCTTTGTGAACCATTTCTATCAGCTGAACATAGTGTCTGTCCCCTGAGACTGTTCTTGTGCCTCCAGTACCAGCAACTCATTCCTTCAAGGTGCTTGGTAATGTCTAAGAAGTTTTCATAATTTTGTCCTTTGTATGCTCCACCACATTCATGTAGCAAGGTAAATATCCATGTATCCTCGGTCAGCCTTTTATAAATTTTAAGTATACTTCCACTCTCCCTCCCATACTCATTCAGCCTGTGCATCTGTTCAGGTATCTACCTACAGATCACTGTTATTGCAGGATTGTGCATATAACAGTACTTACCCATACTCCCTGTAACTCTCGCACGCCTCCCCGTGTCTTCCCCTGCCTTCATCATTCTTGCACAACCTCTCTCTTGCTATATATCACCTTTCCCATCACCTGAGTTAACCAGCATCTACCTTCTAGCCAGTGGATTACTCTCCCTTCCCTCCCACCATCAAAGAATATTTCTTTTAGCATGAAAAGAAACCATCAAAGAATATTTCTTTTAGCATCAAAACCTTTTCATGACTTTTTACAGTAGTGACCAAATACAATATTTGTCCTTTTGTAATAGACTCATTTCCTGCAGCATAATGTCCTCCAGGCTCATCCATGTTAGAACGTGCTTTGCCAATTCGACGTTATTCTTCAACAATGCATACTATTCCACTGTAGCCACCATCTTTTTATCAGTGAAGGTTTGCATGTTGCTATAATGTTGAACAGGTTTCAGTGCCCTAAAGCTGGTCCATTCAAACCAGTCCAATCCCCAATGGTTCATAGAGCTGGTGGTGGACAGGCATCACCATCAACTCGAGGAAGCTAACAACTTTACTCAAGGAGCTTACAGTCTAGTAGATGAGAGAAATAAGAAGTACAATACAATGTTATAGACTCTACGACAGAGACTACTTCGAATTTCAAAGCAAAATACAAAGGAAAAAGTGGCCAAGTTTACCTAATTGCATCAGGAAACTTTGACCTGCATCTCATGAGAAAGCAATCAACAAGTGGGAGAAATGTGGTAGTAAAGTGGCAAGGGCATGGCAGAAAGGGAGCAGTGTGAGCTACAGCCAAGCAGCACAGTAGCCCAAGGCCCTGGGAGGGAACAAAGGAGAATGAAGAGGAGAGCATGTATTGGAGGGGGCGGGGCTAGCTGCAAGAGGCAGATGGAGCAAGGTCATGCAGGACTGCTTTGCCAATTGATAAACTTGTTCTGCATCCTCAGGCAACAGGGTCACAGAAGTTTACATTTTTTTTAATTTACAAAGATTATATTTGAGCAGTGGGAAAGATGAATTGGAGGTTTTAGGAGCATTGAGATCAAAGAGACAATAAGATTTACTGAAAAATCTGAACTGCAGCAGTGCTGACAATGAAAAGAAAGGGGCAGACGTCAAAAATATGGAAACAAGGCTTAATTATGATGGCATAAGATTGAAAAAAGAAAAGCAGCCTGAAATGACTCTAGATTTCAAATTTGGATGTTTACTTGATGAAATAGAAAAAGCAGAAGGAAGAACAAGTTTTGAGAGAAAGATGATGAGTTGAATTAAGAACTATTAGGCTTGATTTGCGGGAGAAAGATGAGGCATTCTGCTCCCTTAAAGATTTACAGCCTCGGAAACTCTGTATAGGATCGCTATGGGTCGGAACCAACTCGACGGCACTTAACAACAACAGGCTTGATATATCTATGAAAACTGTTCAAGAGATGACTTCTAAAATCCATTTGAATATATGGGTTTAGAGTTCAGAAAGATTATCTGGACTAAAGATAACATTTTGGTAGTCATGAACAAATTATTATGCACCATCGAGTCAGTTCTAACTCATAGTGACGTTGTATAGGATTTCCAAGGAGCAGCTGGTGGGTTTGAACTACCAACCTGGTGGCTAGCAGTCCAGTGTTTATCCTACAGTGCCACACCAGGAACCCCATAAACAGGTGTTACTAAGTGTCGTTGAGTCAGTTCTAACTCATAGAGGCCCTGTTTAGGGTTTCCAAGGAGCAACTGGTGAGTTCAAACTGCCGACTTTGCTGTAAAATTGAAATTGTTGTCCAGTGCTGATCTACAGCACCACACCCATGAGCAGGTAAATGGTAGTTAATTCCATGGAAAGAAATGAGCAGATTGTTGTTGCTGTTGTTAAGTGCCATTGAGTCAGTTCTGACTCATAGCTACACAGTACAAGGGTTCCAAGACCGTACATCTTTGAAAGAGCAAAAAGCCTCAATTTTCTCCTGCGGAGCAGCTGGTGGGCTCAAACTGCTGATTTTGTGGCTCACAGTCCAGTGCTTATCGTACAGAGCCACCACACTCTCCAATGAACAGAAAGATGGTAGTTAATTCCATGGAAATAGAAGAGAAAAGCCAGAAAGTCATGTAACAGCAGAGGAGAGACACCAAGGTGGAAAATCAAAAGCACAGTTAGTGGAAGAGACTAAAGAAGGAATGGTAAAAGAAGTAAAAGGAAAATACAATGTCTTAAAAGCTAAGGAAGCAATGACTTCCTGTTTTCTTTCAATTATCAGGATACTTGTGTCACCATAACCATTTTCCATGGGGACAAAAACTGAAGGAACATAAATCTAAATGCCAAATAACTTGAAGAACACTTCATTACTTACCTCATCTCTGCTGATGAGTTCGTTGGAAAAAGTAAGTCCCGGCATAAGACCTCTCTTCTTTAGCCAGAATATAGCAGCAAAAGATCCAGAGAAGAAAATCCCTTCTACAGCAGCAAAGGCTACCACCCTTTCCCCTGGCAGACAAAAAACAGTTTCACTTTCTGAAATACCATACTTCCACATTAAACATGTTTTGTTTTTCAGTTTTGTTTTACAATACCATAACTATTTTGCCAAAACACAAAATGAACAAAGTAGCACCATGACCAAGGGTCTTCATAGAAGAAAATGTGCCTTCTTGACTTACTAGAGCAGAAAGGTATAGTTCTAACCCTGGGTCAAACACTGGACTGCTGTAGACCTTGGTGTCTGCAATTAAGAAGTGATATACTTGTGCTCCACATGTGTCTATGGGTGCTGATACCTGCATGTGAGTGCAATATGTATACCCATGTGTGTACTGGACTGGGCAGCAGAAGGTAGAGAGAACTATCTTTATCAGTCTAAAGACAGTAATGGTGCAGGTGGCAACATTAGTTCATAAAATTGCACTTCTCCTGGTGGTTAAAAGGAAGTACAGGTGTGTCACTAAGTAAGACAGTATTTCTATCTTCCATTCCACAAAGTAAGAGCCACTCATGTGCTCTTCACTCTTCCCCTTCTTATTCTATCTACCAAAGGAGCCCTGGTGCTGCTGTAGGATAAGCGCTGGATTTCTGACCACAAGGTCTGGAGTTCAAAACCACCAGCTGTTCCTCAGGAGAAAGAGGAGACTTTCTGCTCCTATGATTTACAGCCTTAGAAGCCCTATACAAGGTCATGATGAGTCCAAATGGATTTAATGGCAGTGGGTTTGGTCTGTTTTCATATTCCATCCACCACTCATTCCACTGCTTTTATTCAACTGTAAAACATGTTCTTTCCTCTGATATCCTAAATCAGAAACGTAATGGATTTGCCTTGAAGTTAAGCCATCTGGAGGACCTACCTGAGGATCGCATAATAGAATTTAGCAAGACTGATAACTTATTCATTGCAAATGCTGTTTTTCAGCAACATAGATGATCGATTATACCTGGGGACCTCACTAGAGGGAATATACTGTTGTTGTTAAGTGCACGGCAACAGTTCTGACTCATAGCAATCCTATATGGAGTTTCCACGGAGTGGTTGGTGGGTTTGTACAGTCTGCCTTGTGGTTAGCAGTCTGGTGCTGATCCTACAGTGCCATAGCAGAGAAGAGACAGGAATCAAATTGACTACATCTGTGGGAAGGATGATGAAGAAGCCAAAACAAGGCCAGGAGCCAACTGTGAGACAGACCATCAACTGATCATATGCAGGTTCAGGTTGTAGCTGAAGAAAATTAAAACAAGTCCATGAGAACCAAAATATACTGTGAGAATATCTCACCTTAATTTAGAGACTATCTCAAGAAAACATTTGATGCATTAGACACTAGTAACTGAACACCAGAGGAATTGTAGGATGATATCAAGAACATCACGCATGAAGAAAACAGATTATTAAAAAGAAAGAAAAGACCAAAATGGATGTCAGAAGTGTGGTTCAGTGACTCTTCTGGCCACAGTCTGTAACACCCACCAAACAACATTTCCACCCCCCTGTTGGGTATGGGATAAGGAAACCTGGAAGGAGATACTGATGGAATGACATGATTCAGTTGTGGGCATTAGCAGAGTTCACTGTAACTGTAAAAATGTGAAATTCTAGCATGGGTATAAAACGAACACCCTCCGAAGCAGAAAGGGGGATTCCACTTTCATCACACAAGAGCAATGCGTGGACTGCATCCTTTGAATACCCAGATCCCTGCACACTGAACTTTCTTGACCCAGGAACAGAAATCAAGGACCAGAGGAGTGGTAGAGGCACAGTAGCAGCTTAAATAAGAACCAAAGCAGTGGGCTTACCAGCCCCTGGAGCAAGTAAAGCAGAGTGACTTTGGGAAGACTTGCTTGTAGTGTGGGGTGCCTTGAAGCACTTAATTAAGAGAGCTAGAGTGCTGACCCATGAAACTAGAGCCAAGAGCCTTCAAGCTGAGGCTTGGGGTGAAGTGGTGTCTCTTGTGGGCATTTATCAGCAGCCCTAAAAGCGCTTTGTAACACTGGTGGGAAGAGAGAGGCCTGCCTGTGGACATGGCTGACGAGAGGCTGTCCTGACTTGAATAACTGTGCCTGAGCATTTCTGACCCTGAATTTAACTTCCCAAATAAACCCCATAACTGTGAGTATGGTGTCTGAGTTCTGTGTGACCACTACACTGAACTCAATTGAGTAGAGAGTGTTACAGGAGTCATGTTTGGCTCGTGTTTTGCAAGAAGAGACTATAAAACTTGCTCTTGAACATGGACAAGCTAACACAGTTGGAAGAAATGATAAAGTACAAAAGCTGAACAGACAATTTCAAAGGACAGCACTAGAAGACAAAGTAAAATACTATAATGAAATGTGCAAAGACCTGGAGTTAGAAAACCAACAGGAGGAACATGCTCAATATTTCTCAAGCTTTAAAAAGCTGATAAAGAAAAAAATTCAAGCCTCGAGTTGAAATACTGAAGGATTCTGTGGACAAAGTATTGAATGATGTAAGAAGTATTAAAAGAAGATGGAAGGAATACACAAAGTCACAGTACCAAAACGAATTGGTCAACATTCACTCCTTTCACGGGGCAGCATATGATCAAGAACCGATGGTACTGAAGGAAGAAATCCAATCTGAACTTAAGGCACTGATGAAAAACAAGGCTTCAGGAACTGATGGAATACAAATTGAAGTGTTTCAAACCAACTGATGCAATACATTGACAGGAAGCTGCCAGGAATTTATGCCAGATTCAGAAGAAGATATGGAATGAGGGATATGATTCCTTATGTCATATGGATCTTTGCTTAAAGCAGGGAATACCAGAAAGATGTTTACTTATGCTTTATTGACTTTATCAAGGCATTAGACTCCATGAATCATAAACTATGGATAACAGTGCAATGAATGGAATTCCAGAACATTTAATTATGTACAACAACAATTGTGAGGATGATGCAGGACCGGGCAGTGTTTCATTCTGTTGTGCATTGGATCATGTGATAGTTAAGGTTTTATGTAAACTAGATTAGACCAGGATTCTCAGTGGTTTAGCAATTAAGACATATTTGGAAGACCTGCAGCCAGAGTGCTCCTTGGAGGCCAGGATAGCCAAACTTTGTCTCTCAGACTTCGGACATATTGTCAGGAGGGACCAGTCGCTGGAGAAGGATATCATGTTTGGTAAGGTGGAGGGTCAGAGAAAAGAGGAAGACCCCCAGAGAGATGGGTTGGCAAAGTAGCAGCATCAATGGGCTCAAGAGTGGCAACAATTGTAAGGTTGGTCCAGGACTGGTCAGTGTTTCCTTCTGTTGTGCATTGAGTTGCTATAAGTCGGTACCGACTCAATGGCAGCTAACAACAACAATCCCCCATGATGATATCTGCTATGAGCAGCCAACCAACTGAAAGGAAGTTTCCTTGGGGGTGTGATCTGCTTCTAATATACTGCGTGTGCTTCAAATATACTGAAACTGCTGGGTTTAGATCCTGCTTCTGGCTCACCATCCAACCTCCAGTTCTTCAGATTTGACCCAGTGGCCTTCTATATTGCCTGCTGATCCTGGGAGTCATCAGTGCCTGCCATCTACCTGCCTGATCTGTCAATCTTGGTTCATCAGCTCTGCAGTAATGGGGGTCAGAAATCTTCAGCCTGACATTGACTTGGGACTTGCTCACCTCTCCAACTGTGTGAGTCATTTCCTTGATATAAACTTCTCTTTAAATATACGTATGTAAGGTTCACTGGTTTTGCTTCTCTAGAGAACCAAGCCTAAGGCGTTTGGTAACAAGAGTGATTATATAAAAACAAAATCATAAGGATAGTTTTTCTGAATTGGTTCTCAAGTCTGACTGGTTTTAAATGCACTGATAACTGCTTCCTTTAGCAAACAGGACACTGTTAATCCATGGAATGAGGTGGCAATCTTAATATGCAAAATAATACCACCTGTAGATCAAGCATTTGTGAAAATTGTGACTCTGAGTATGTTTGATACTTTTCAGCAATTTCATCAGGATGAGAAGCACAGGGAAGCTGGTTGGTTGGTTCTACTTACAAAGTGGCAAAGGAAAGAGACCAATTCAGGCCTTCAGAGTAACAGCTCAAACACTGCATAAAAGGCCTCAAATGATTCCACTTGTGCCCTGAAAGAAAGCCTTATTTCTTGTAGTGACAGGGCTGATATTGCTCAAAATCAAACCCAGAGTCTTATCTTAACAGTTTCTGAATTACAATGTAAACTGAATTCCCAACCTCAAATGGTGTCTGATACTAAAGTGGGGACACTGACTGGGAAGAAATGGAATCCTGAAACTTGGGATGGGGTCATATGGGCAGATAATCAGAAAGCTGGAAACACAGAACTCCTAAGTTCTGTGAATCACTCTTGCCAACACCACCCCTTCCATCTGAAAAGATTATTCCATGTTTGTCTGCTGAACCATTATCAATAAAACCATAATCTCTTCTACACACACTTGATGAGATTATCCCAACTGTGCTTGCTGAGATTGTGTCTGGGGCATTTTCTGGGGCAATGCACAAACAAAACCCTGGAGAATGTATGTGAGAATGGCTATTAAGGGTGTGGGATAATGGTGCAAGGAATGTGAGGTTGAATCAGTCTGCATTCATTGATATGGCCCACTAAGCATAAATTCTTCATTCACTGTTTCAGCTCGAGAGGTTGGAAGAGAATCTAATAGCTTATTTGGTTGGTTCAATGAAGCACAGATTGCATGGTGGCCTATAATATCCTTGAAGACTACTGTGATGTGAGCCAGATTCGACAGTGAGAACTGCCCTAACTGACTTAAGACAACTAATTACAGTGGGCTGATTGGATCCCGAAGTGGTAGGGGCCAAATGGCAGCACTTAATTGACAAAGACAAGGTGGGCATGGCTACTGTAATGGGCAGCAGAATTAAAGTAATAATCAGAATAGTGTGACTTGTGTGGACTTATAGCATTGGCTACTTACGCAGGGTGTCACTAGGAGTGAAATTGATGGGAGATCTACTAAATAT